CGGGAGGAAATGAGGACTTCGAGGATTCTATATATGTATATATATTATATATTATATATTTATATATACATTTATATATATGTAGATATATGTAGAAGGGCAAATAAATAGATATGCATATACATACACACGCAAATATATATATATGTATGTATATATATAGACACACATATATACTGTACACACACGTATGTATGTGTATATGAATGTATGTGTGTATGTATGCACATTATTTGCGCGTACACCATTCGAGGAATGTAGACGGCGAGGAGACAGGCGGAGGAAGAGTCGGTCGCAAAGTATGTGAATTATTTTATTAATAAAGGCATGAAATCCTGACCTTCAGATTTTATTATTTGTTATTAAAGCGATTGTTCATCTGAAGGTCACGTGATTGAGACATTTCGTGGGACTAATGCTATTGGATTTGTATAAAGTTGTTATTATCGGTATTATTGCTATTTTGTTATCGTTACCATGGTTGTTATTATTCTTGTTGTTATCGTTGTTATCGTTATCAACATCATCATCATCATAATCATTATTATTATTAAAACTGCAAATCTATTTTCATTATCAATATCATCATTGTTGTTTTTCTTGTCATTAGTATTGTATTTATTATTGTTTTGATAATTATTATCAGAGTTAGTTTCATTAATCTTGCAATTCGGGTTCTGATGTTGTCCTTCATTCATTTCCTTCCTTTTGATTATTTTTTGCGATTAATTGAGCCAATTTGGGCAGAAATCCGTCCACTTTACCAATTATTATTATTATCATTATTACTATTATTATTATTATTATTATTATTGTTGTTGTTTTGTTGTTGATATCATCATTATTATTATTATTATTGTTATTATTATTATTATTGTTATTATTATTATTATTATTATTATTATTATTATTATTATTATTATTGTTGTTGTTGTAACTATAATTATTATTATTATATTTTCTTCACGAGGCTTAGTTCTTATGCCCGGTTGTAGCTTGCAAGCAGGTGACAACAAGTCCCCGAAGGTTTCAAGCTTGTCCTTCTGCTGCCAATACTTTGTATATTTTTTATAATAATAATAATAGTAATAATAATAATGATAATGATAATAATATGATTATTGTTCTTGTTGTTGTTGTTGTTATTATTATTATTATTATTATTATTATTATTATTATTATTGTTGTTTTATGTTCATCACTATTATGTCAGGTAACATTTTCACCGCCGATCGTTGCTAAAATGTGTCTTGTCCGTTTCTTGAGATGGGTTGATGCCGACCGTTGAAATTCCCCTTTAAATCTATTATCCGCGACCGCCTCTCCCTCCCCTCCCCCTCCCCCCTCATCCTCTTTGTCTGCGTCTGTCTCTCTTTCTCTTATTAACATTGCGACAACCGACGCGGGTAAGGTAGCCCACCCTCCCCTCCCCCACCTCTCTCCTCCCACCCCCTTCTCCCTGCTGCCCTATCGCCTTCCCCTTTCCTCTCTTCCTCTTTGTCCTCTCTCTTCCTTCCCTTCCCATTCCTCCTCCTCCTCTTCCTCTATTCTCTTCCCTTCCCCCCTCTCCTCCCCATACGCTCTCTCTTCCTCCCTCATCGCCATTCCCTCCTCCGCTCTCCCTCCCCGTCCTTCCTCGTATCCCTCTCCCCCCCCCTTCCTCCTCTCCCCTCTACTCCCCCACCCCCCTCCCCCTCCCCCCCTGCACCCTCACATCCTCCAGGAAATATTTAAACCCAAGGAACCCGAAATTTTGTTACTCAATCAATGTTGTTTTTCTCTTTTCTTTATTAAAAAATTGAGTTCAGTTCTATGTGTGGTTCGTAAATCGTATATAATTATTTGTTTCTGTATCGGAAACTGCATTCATTTTTTTTTTGTTTTCTTCATTAAATATTTGGGATTTTATGGATCTTTTTTTTCGTTTATTACAAAAATGGATGGCTGTTTTGCATCATGTGGGTGTGGTATATTTCATTTGTCTCAAGGAAAGGGAGTATTGCTCAGCTCTCTTTAGATCAGTGGTGAATCTGACCTTTTTTACCCATTGTTTTATTGGCAGAGAAGGGCAGAGACTCTTGGTTTTTAAATGTATTGGTGGCATATTGCGCGGCGGGTTGAGGCGGCTGGCGGCGTCTGGCAACCGCTGAGGGACGCGGGTGGGTGAGTCATGCCCCGCGGAGTCCGGATAATCGCATACACGAGGGTTGACATACATACCTATATATGGCGTTTCCGTATCGTGTTTTGGTAACGTTTTGGGTGACGGCTTGTCTCTCTGTTTTGGTCGTCTCGAACGGTATTTTGGCCGAGTGTCGTTCCTTCGTTTGAGTGTTTTTTTATTCGTCCCTCGTCGTCGCCGAATGGTTTGTGAAGGTTTTGCTGAATGGCATTGGTTGAAAAGTCTGTTATGCCATTATCCGGACTGGGTACAGCCGGTCTAGAGAGCCGTTGAGAATTCATCTGAAAGACACTTCCTGGCGCACACACGTACACGGAC